TCAGTGGACATAATTTTTGTTTTATGCACAAAATCCATAGAATTGTAGGGTTGGAAGAGACCCCCAAGGGCCATCTAGTCCAACCCTATTTCTGCCAAGCAGGGAGGCATAATCAAAGCCCTCCCGAAAGATGGCCACCCAGCCTCTTGAAAAACCTCCACATTACTTTTCAGCTTTCTAAGGCAGGGCCAAAGGAAATAGAGATTTCATCCCCTTATTTAGAAATGCAGGGCTTAAGGGGAAAGTCTCAAAGTACTCGTCTTGGCAAAGCTTTCATTGGGAGAACTCTGACACATCCAGTAAATACCTCAATCAAAGTCCCAGCAGACGTTTGCAATTAAGGGCAGACTCTTCTCCTCTATTTACTCTCTGAGAGGAGACATGATAGTCATAGAGAAGAGAGAGGGAGGAAGCTTGTTTTCTGCTTCCCTGGAGAATCATAGAATCAAAGAGTTGGAAGAGACCTCATGGGCCATCCAGTCCAACCCCTTGCCAAGAAGCAGGAATATTGCATTCAAATCACCCCTGACAGATGGCCATCCAGCCTCTGTTTAAAAGCTTCCAAAGAAGGAGCCTCCACCACACTCCGGGGCAGAGAGTTCCACTGCTGAACGGCTCTCACAGTCAGGAAGTTCTTCCTAATGTTCAGATGGAATCTCCTCTCTTGTAGTTTGAAGCCATTGTTCCGCGTCCTAGTCTCCAAGGAAGCAGAAAACAAGCTGGCTCCCTCCTCCCTGTGGCTTCCTCTCACATATTTATACATGGCTCTCATCATATCTCCTCTCAGCCTTCTCTTCTTCAGGCTAAACATGCCCAGCTCCTTAAGCCGCTCCTCATAGGGCTTGTTCTCCAGACCCTTGATCATTTTAGTCGCCCTCCTCTGGACACATTCCAGCTTGTCAATATCTCTCTTGAATTGTGGTGTCCAGAATTGGACACAATATTCCAGGTGTGGTCTAACCGAAGCGGAATAGAGGGGTAGCATGACTTCCCTAAATCTAGACACTAGGCTCCTATTGATGCAGACCAAAATCCCATTGGCTTTTTTTGCCGCCACATCACATTGTTGGCTCATGTTTAACTTGTTGTCCACGAGGACTCCAAGATCTTTTTCACACGTACTGCTCTCAAGCCAGGCATTGTCCCCCATTCTGTATCTTTGCATTTCGTTTTTTCTGCCAAAGTGGAGTATCTTGCATTTGTCACTGTTGAACTTCATTTTGTTAGTTTTGGCCCATCTCTCTAATCTGTCAAGATCGTTTTGAATTCTTCTCCTGTCCTCTGGAGTATTGGCTATCCCTCCCAATTTGGTGTCGTCTGCAAACTTGATGATCATGCCTTCAAACCTTCATCTAAGTCATTAATAAAGATGTTGAACAGGACCGGGCCCAGGACGGAACCCTGCAGATGGCACTCCGCTCGTCACTTCTTTCCAAGATGAAGAGGAAGCATTGGGGAGAATCACCCTCTGGGTTCGTCCATTTAACCAATTCCAGATCCACCTCACCGTAGTTTTGCCTAGCCCACATTGGACTAGTTTCCTTGCCAGAAGGTCATGGGGGACCTTGTCGAAGGCCTTCCTGAAATCCAGGTACGCTCCATCCACGGCATTCCCCGCATCTACCCAGCTTGTAGCTCTATCGAAAGAGATCAGATGAGTCTGGCATGACTTGTTTTTGATAAATCCATGTTGACTATTAGCGATGACTGCATTTGTTTCTAAGTGTTTGCAGACCGCTTCCTTGACACTCTTTTCCAGAATCTTGCCTGGTATCAACGTGAGGTCATCCTTTTCTTGAAGATTGGGACCACATTGGCCCTCCTCTAGTCTGCTGGAACTTCTCACGTTATCCAAGAGCTCTCAAAGACTAGGATGCAATGGACCAATGGCTTCAAACTACAAGAAAGGAGATTCCCTCTGAACATGAGAAAGAATTTCCTGACTGTGAGAGCTGTTCAGCAGTGGAACTCTCTGCCCCGGAGTGTGGTGAAGGCTCCTTCTTTGGAAGCTTTTAAACAGAGGCTGGATGGCCATCTGTCAGGGATGCTTTGCATGCGATTTTCCTGCTTCTTGTTAGGGGGTTGGACTGGATGGCTCTTGAGGTCTCTTCCAACTCTATGATTCTATGACTGTATGACATCTAGGGGCCTCGTGTAGTACTGCAACGTATAGACATATTTATTTACACAAATGACAACACATTTTGAAAGTATTTTTGAAATGATTCCTTTACTATGCACAATATGTAGCTGAGCTTTTGTGGTTTTAGTGGTAGGACGGATGCAGACTATAGAGCCAAGACGGGTATCCAATCAAGGCAATTGCAGGGTCATGTTCAAAAGCATGTTAAAGCAGCTTTAGGAATTCTGTGCCCATTTCTCTGCCAGA